GTTTGTTTGTGTGTGTGTTTGTTTGTTTGTGTGTGTGTGTTTGTGTGTGTGTGTGTTTGTTTGTGTGTGTGTGAGAGAGAGAGAGAGAGAGAGAGAGAGAGAGAGAAAGAGAGAGAGAGAGAGAGAGAGAGAGAGAGAGAGAGAGAGAAGAGATAAAATGTGTGTGGAGGTGAGGGGCAGGATGGAGGAGTTTCTGGTTACGCAGCCAGGCTCTGTATCGGTGAGTGTGTTTGTGTGTGTGTGTTTGTGTGTGTGTGTTTGTTTGTGTGTGTGGTTTTTTTGTGCGTATGTATGTGTGTATGTCTGAGTGTCAATGGAGAAGCTGGAGACACAGAGTAAAGAAAAAACTAGTAGTAGTAGTAGTAGTAGTAGTAGTAGTAGTAGTAGTAGTAGTAGTAGTAGTAGTAGTAGTAGTAGTAGTAGCAGCAGCAGCAGCAGCAGCAGCAGCAGCAGCAGCAGCAGCAGCAGCAGTAGTAGTAATAGTAGTAGTAGTAATAGTAGTAGTGTAAATCAATTAGAGCTTGCCGTTGAGAAGGGATTTGCGCTATACATATGCTCTCTATCATTACAAGGCCACGGACCGCGTCATCAGCTACCTGACCACTAACCTGGACGTCCTCCGTGACCGACTGTCAGACACCATCTACCCCCTGATGGCCACACAGATCTGGACACTGGTCATCGACCTCTTTGACTCTCACCTGCTGGTTGGCGTAGGTAGATTTTTTGTACTAGTCTCTAGCCATGCTTCACCAGTAGAACATTGATTCTCCCAGTACTAAAAGACCAGTTTGTGTTAACAAATGTGAGGCAGCGTGGTGGAATCAGGCTCTCGTCAGTTTTTGGGCATGTAGAGTTATTGGTATCATCTTAAAGCTTGTTCACTTGTCTTTATTTGGATTTTAAAAATGTCCATTTATCTTGAATACAAGTCCAGATATTTGCGAACGAGTGAGACATTGGGGTTTCCTGTTTTCAGAGGTAAAATTAATGAGAAAATGGCCGCCAAAGATTAGTTATTTCCTTAGTTTAAGAGTCCAGGGTAACTGAAAATTTACATTTTGTCTGCCTTTATTTAATGTTTTTTAGAAAAATCCACTCAGAAATGAGTTCTTTAATGGGCATGAAAGGCGTTGAGCCAAAAACCTTAAATTTGATAAAAACTCACAAACCTGCGGGAAAATGCACGTTTCTTCAATTTGATTATTTTGACGAGAGCCTGATTCCACCACGCTGCCTCACAAATGTGTTCCTTCTTTTTTGTACTCAAACAAACAAATGAGCATATGCACCCATACACACAAACTTGTACACATATTATCTATTATCTATTTTTGGTGGTCGAATTTTGCTATTTAAAAGGCTTTTTGATAGCTGTATCGAACGACATGCGGTTTTCGCCAAAAGATTCTTTAAAATATTCTCTAGATCATGACGCCCTTCGTTTTTTCAGTTTTGATATAGTTTTGTTGCAAAAAGCGAATTTTTTTTATTTCGATGATCGCTTTTTAGGCTGACGCTTCTGCCTCTGTAATGTTAGAAAATCCGCCAGGTTTGTTTAGGCGTAGGCCTATTTCAAGTCGTACTTCCGTTCGATACTATCGCGCATTGTCGCGCAATATTGAGCACTATTTTAAGTGTGCGGCACGTACAGATCTAGCCTCACGTTTTCTTTTTTTACTTGGTGCTAAATTCGACTGTGATTCTTTCCTTTCGTTTGATGCCCATCATCGCTTTTTCTGGACTCCTTTGTCCAATTCTTTTTCTTGCTACTGGGAGCAACGTCAACAAATCTTAGATTAGAATCTAGATCTAGATCTAGATAGCGCCTGACCATGCCAAAAAGAAAACGACATTCAGCAGTTGGAACCCCTCCTCGTGCTCACAAAGGTCGAGGTGGTCTAGATCAACAACAAAATGATGGGGACTCTCTAGATCTAAATCTTCCAAAAGCATTTTTCTTCAGTGACAATTCGATTCAGTACGAGTGCTACATTGGGGAACTGACGACACAGTGTACACACTGCCTGGCCACAAGATTTCCATAATATGAAACACAAGGCATGTGCTGTAGGCTAGTTAGTAATGGCAAAGTTGATCTGCATTCATTTCCAAAACCACCTCCTGAACAGCAAATCCTTCTGTCTGGTGTGTCGACACAGTCCACTCACTTTCTGGAGAAAATAAAGCACTACAAATTATACATTTATTATATATTTGGCAACTTGGCAATACGTGTCTCACTTTTCTCTCAAGATTTAGTGCTCCATTCCAGTAGAGTGTAAATTTTAATATAGTAGGCCAATGATTTTCAGTTGATGTTAATGCACAGATCATTCCTTTCATCGAAAGGAGGCCCAGCTAGAAATCTAGTACAATATATGACTTGCCCAACGAGAGAAAACAAATTTCTGTTAGTTTTTTAAAATTGATTTAACGTGTGCCCAGATTTCACCACGGTGCCAAACAATTACATTTTTTAAAAAGTAATCATTGGTTTTACAAGCTAGATCCTAACTGAATATACCGGCCTATCAGCGAAACAAAACATGATAATTTATCCTGGTTGCAACCCACAGAAACCTCCCGAGTACTACCAGAACCAGAAGATCCATCTCCGCGCCCTCATCCAGTTTTTCCTGGACTGCTGGCCTGAAGGCACGCCCATCACACAGGACACGCCCACAATCCAAGACACGCCCATCCCACGCGACACGCCTATCTCTCAAGACACGCCCATCATCTCACAGGACACGCCCACAACCAAAGACACGCCCATCCCAGAAGACCCACCTATTACTCAGTACACGCCCATCCCTCAAGACACGCCTTGCGCTCAGATGCTGATGGAAAGGTAAGGGCGAGTTTAGACAACTGGCAGGAGTAAGACTATTCATTCATTTTTTGTTAATAATAATGATGATGATGATAATAATAATAATAATAATAATAATAATAATAATAATAATAATAATAATAATAATAATAATGATATATGACATTTATATAACGCATTTCCAAAAAAAAGTAACTCAATGCGCTTTACATTGGAATACCCATTTTCCAAAAACCTTTCTTACTACTTCCTTTCTTCTCATGCAATATACATTCATGCACACACACACACACACACACACACACACACACACACACACACACACACACACACACACACACACACACACACACACACACACACACACACACACACACACAGACTATTTTCATCCAGACATAGGAACAGAACAACTATAATGAAAGATAACGTTAAAAGCTTATGAAGCTTATGAAAGATAGGCCTGTAGGAACAGAAAATGTGAGGCAGCGTGGTGGAATCAGGCTCTTGTCAAAATAACCAAAGTGAAGAAACTTGCATTTTTCTGCAGGTTTGTGAATTTTTATCAATTTTTTAATTTATTTTTTTTGCTCAACACCTTTCATGCCCATTAAAGAATTCATTTCTGTGTGAATTTGTCTGAAAAACGTTGATTAAAGGAGCAAAGAATGTAAATGTTCAGTTACCACGGACTCTTAAGCTAAGGAAATAACCAATCTTTGGCGGCCATTTTCTCACTAATATTACCTCTGAAAACAAGTGACCCCCACCTCCTTCTTTCGCAAATATCTCGACTTGTATTCAAGGTGAATGGATATTTTTTCCATCCAAATAAAGACAAATTAACAAGCTTTAAGATGATACTAATAACTCTAAATACTCAAAAATTGACCAGAGCCTGATTTTACCACGCTGCCTCACATATTCGACTAGAAATCTGATCCCATTTTCCCTCTTATCGCTCCAATATGAAAAGTGTGTTTGGAAAGCGTTATGTGCGGATCCTGTTCCTTTTCTTTCCCGTGTTGGTGTACCCCGCAGTTTTATGCAAAAACAATTTTGAAATTATGCAAACTGAGCTCAAAAATGTGAAATTATGCGATTCTATTAATTTTAACAAAGAATGATAAAGGAAAATAATCTGAAATTACGCAAAAAATAATCAAATTCTGCTAAATTATGCAGGTTGCATAAAACCATGGGGACAGTCTTGTTATTTCTTTCTGTGTGGGTGGTTGGAGAGTGCCACTTGCAAATATCAATTAGCTTGTCCAGCTATCAGGTAATGAACTGATGCATTTATCAATCAACCAATTATTCAATGAAAGCAATTTACCAATTAATCAGTTAGCTATCCATCAATCCATCGACCAATAACAGAACATGTTAATCAAGCAAGCAAGCAAGCAAGCAAACAAACCATTTATCTATCAGTCACTCAGTCAATCAGCCTATCTAGCTATCAAGTAACGAGCTGATGTATCCACCAATCCATCCATTCACCCATCCATCCATCAATCAATCAAAATCAATCTATCAATGAATCAGCCGTCCAACCAATCAATTAATCAATCAATCGTATCTATCTAGCTATCAAAACATAAGCTGGTGTATTGACCAATCAATCAAACAATTAATCAATCAATCAAGTAATTATTCAACCAATCAATTAATTAGTCAATCAATCAACCAATCAACCAGTCAACCAGTCAAACATTTAGTTAATCAATCTGTTGCCTATCCCCCCACAGACTGGAATTGAACTCCACCCCCACAGAGCAGCTGATCCTGGACTACTACCTCCACCTGTCTGGCCACATGGCCACCCCCCTAGACTATCTGGGCCACCTGGCCCTCAAAGTGGCCTACAGGGAAGAAACTGGCTCTGTCGTCACTGTCTACCTTAACGGTTTGTATAACTTAACATTATTTAAGAACCCCCAGTGTTTGACTAACTGGGCTTGGGACCAGATATCAATTAGATTTTGTATTGAATGAATAGGCTTTCCTGAACACATACAGACTTGGGTAGAATGTTTTCGTGCAAAGAACCCATTCAAGAACTAGCTACTGTTGTAAAATACAATAATGTGTTTCTTGTGACTATGAGACATGAACAAAATCTAATAGATTATTGCTTTTTACTGAAAGTGTAATGACCAATCGTACAAATTACTCAAATCCGTAGGAAGTCAAAGACATAAAGATGCGTCCATCATTTCTGAACAGATCAAGACTAAGATACACTTTAGTCGTGCAAAGAATACGTAAAATGCTATCTTCTGAGGCGAAACACGTTAATGTTACGGCTGTTGCATCCAGACATGCACAAAATCTAATACATTATAACGATTACTGAAAGTGTAACGACCGACCACATAATTGCTCAAAACGGTCGGAGGTTAAAGAAATAAAGAATTGTTTCACATGCTCCCTTCTTTCTTGCTAGTGCCTTTCTGTTTGGTCTGTGTTTTTAGTTTCAGCTTAGATATGGTCCGGAAATCGCTTAACGTCTGCAGAAAGGAGAATATATTATTTCCATGAGGGCTGTACAGAGTCATTTTGTCAATGGGATTGTAACTGTTGGATGGAATCGGCAGTCTAATTGTATCGATATCGTCATAAAGTACACGGCTTTGATTTTTTCCCTAAAGTGCAGGACTCTGATAGTTACTAGTTCTTTCCAGGCCA